ATTATTGAAGAAAATACGAGGTCAAATTTACATTGGAGTTCACCGGCGCGTGCAAACGATTATGCGGGTTTTTTCGCGCAAGAGAACACTGTGTTCCCTCGGAGTGCATTGTCCGAATATTTTTTTTAAATAAACATCATTAGGGGCTCAATACGCACCGCTTATATTCCGGTCAGTTTTACAAAATCCCTCCACACTTTGCGAGTTGCGGCGGTTCTCCGAGCCAACCTCGGTGTAGCAAAACAAAAACATGATTTCAGAATCGGTGACTTAATTCGTGTTTTTGAATAATTTCCGGCCTCTATCCCGAGGACCAGTCTCTGTGGGATCTCGCCGTCGTCGTTGCGGCAAACGCTGCCAACACCCTTGCCCGGGGTCACTGGCAAGGCTGCTGATGTGCGGGGCACGATGAAGGCCGAACAAAAGGCCACCGTCCCGCGAGTTCCCGAGACACTTTGGGGGAAAGATCTGTGATCCCCCTCTCCACCAAACAAAACATCTATATGTATCGTGCTCGTAGAAGCATGGCTTTAATTGCAATCGTCAGTCACGGTCTATCTGCAGCTGAATGAAGATTTATTTTAATATTTGATCCTGCGCTGAATTTATACGTAATAATATGATTGTTTGTCTATCTATCTGTAATGCTTGGCTTGTGGGGAAGGGTGGGAGGGTTGGCCATGCTGTGCAAGTGGAGGTGGGAGGGTGATTGGGCTGAGGTGGAGGGGAGGGGCTGATTGCCTGAGAGAGACGCTGGGCTGCTGGGGAGAGGGGTACCGACATCACGCAAGATTGGGGGGAGCTTGTGAGGAGGGGAGGGTGATGGCATCGCGAGACGTAGAAGGTAATGAAGATGTGGAAGAGCGATGACGTCACGCGGCACTGGTGAGTTGGAGCAGAGGGGTGATGACGTCACGCTAGATTGGGGTGCGTTGGTGACGAGACGGCGTGACGACACCAGACCGGGGGTCTTGGTGAGGATAATGGTTGGTGAGGCCACGTGACACGGGTGAGGGAGTGATGACGCCAAGTGGTCAAGGGAGGTGGGGGGGTTATGACGTCACGTGACATTGGTGAGCTGTAGGAGATGGAGTGATGGCGAAACATTCGCTTTCCTTTTATCGCAGAAGTCCCACGGGTTCCTTCAAGTCATTGTAATAATGTGCGATCCTCACCCCCAGGTGGTGAGTCTCACCACCAGGTGAGTCTCACCCCCAGGTGAGTCTCACCCCCAGGTGAGTCTCACCACCAGGTGAGTCTCACCCCCAGGTGAGTCTCACCCCCAGGTGAGTCTCACCCCCAGGTGAGTCTCACCCCCAGGTGAGTCTCACCCCCAGGTGAGTCTCACCCCCAGGTGAGTCTCACCCCCAGGTGAGTCTCACCCCCAGGTGAGTCTCACCCCCAGGTGAGTCTCACCCCCAGGTGAGTCTCACCCACAGGTGAGTCTCACCCACAGGTGAGTCTCAGCCCCAGGTGAGTCTCACCCCCAGGTGAGTCTCAGCCCCAGGTGAGTCTCACCCCCAGGTGAGTCTCACCACCAGGTGAGTCTCACCCCCAGGTGAGTCTCAGCCCCAGGTGAGTCTCAGCCCCAGGTGAGTCTCACCCCCCGAATCCAAAACCTTTTTGCGGAAAGGGTCCTCTTGTTTTTCCCTCCATATTTAAAATCGACACACGTTAACGTATTTGGCTGCTATGAATTTTCACTTGATAAGACACTTCGTTGAGCTGTCATTTATGGCCAGGTTTTCTTCTGAGAAATAGCTCTATAGCTCAGTGGGCCTTACCTGCTAAGATAAAAACTAAAGTTTAGTTTTAGTTTCGAGATGATGATCCTGCGGCCAGTTTTGTGCTCGCGCCAAACCCATAGACTTCGATTGTTTGGCTACGTACGGTGCCAAAGACGTTCAACATACATAAGAATGAATCCATAAACAAGCTTCCGTACAGAAATACCCCGATTTGAAGACCCCCCCCACCCCTTTTACGTCTATTCGCCAATACGTCGTGACGTTACTAGCACCGCTACCTGATTTGCGCCATCTCAGCCCACACCCACGTCGCTGACCGCATCGTCCGTCCTTCCTCGTATCCGTCGTCTCTCAGCCTTCGCCTCCACCACCTACCCTGGACACGAACCACTTTCCGTCGCAAGCCAGAAAATGCACTAGAGTACAAAATATAATTAACGTGTAGTATTTTGCTGTACTGTATCTTATTGTACCCTGTATAAGTTGAGTTGAAGTTTACTGCTGCAGTAAACTAGTGTTGAGTACAGTATGTTTAGTAACTTAATCTAGCGTTGTGGGTGTGCGTCGAGGGTGCAGCAGTGCACACTAACGCACAGCGTCACCGTCCCCCGCCCCCCGTTGCCTTTCATTCGCTCTCGTGGAAACATCGCTCTGATTCGCGTCGTTTCGATATTCGTTGTCGCAACTTTCAGGAACGCATCCCTGACATAAACCGGCTGATTACTGTGTTTTCTAAACGTCTACATAATTTGGTCAATTGGGTGGCGCATTGGTGAGTCTGCTGTGCTATGAACCCTGAAACCCAATATTGATTCCTGGCCACGGCGAACGTCAGTGGTGAGTAATATCAGGACATGTTCCTGCCCTTCCCCCCCCACACCACTGCCCCCACCTTCACTAGCCCGTATTTACCAGTGTGGTGAAGTATGGTCAAAGAACTCTCCAGACGCCTGGCAGCGTGAGGAAGATGTTACCCAGCCGAGGATTGACAGAGGGACGTACCGGCACATACATCGCACAAGTGATGGTTACCAATAACCACGTGTTGCACTGTGCACGCTAATGTGTCTACTGGACATCCTTGAGAAAGAGCTCCATAGCTCTGCGGATTTCTCTGGGATAAATAAACATTCTGATTCCGTGTTATGGATGGGAAATGGCTGAAATTTCATTTATGTCATTTTATTGCCCCCTCCCCATGCATGTTCACAGCAGCACGATTGTGAAACGTTTGACAAGCTAGGAGGTTTCCAATTTTCTTTTTTTTAACAGAACCGCCAAAGTAACGTGCCCGTCAATTCGGGGTTTTGTCCGTTATTGTTGCTCGTAATTTGCGTTTCATCCCGCGAGTGAGTGAGTGATCGAGTGTGTGATTGAGTGAGCGATCGAGTGAGCGGGCGCTTCGCGGGGGAAGCGGGGTGCGACCCCTGGGTGACCTTGGCAGTGACGCATGCTCTCGTGCCTCCGCGTGTTGATTACACCTGCGGTGGGTGGGGCTGGTGGGCTGGTGGATCCCCGAGGGGGGGTCCCTGGTTGGGGGGAGGGCGCCCTTCTCGACGAGATGACGAGGAGGAGGGGGAAGCAGCAGCCGGAGCGCTACAGATGGGAGCGAGCGGCATGGCCGCGTCACCGCACGGCATGCTCATGGCTGAAGATGCCTCCTCGCCAGGCAGAATTCTGTAGAAATCTATTTAATTTATTTCGCACCGTACGTAGCCAACCGTGATAATCAGAGGTGCGTGGGGGGCGGGACACAAACTGAACAGTATGAGAGAAACACCCCCATGGCGCTGCCAGTGCTGCTCGTGGTGGTGCATTTCTCTGCCTCTCCTAGAACAGACGACTGCAAAGAAAATCGGCATGAGGTTGTATTCGACTGGCAACTGCAATGAGATATTTGTCACCGCTTGGCAAGCATGCCTGAAGATGCCTAGCAATGCAAAATTCTATAGCAATCTAACATGGTGGTGTAATATATGTATGTATAGTGAACCTTTGCACCGTGCATAGCCAAGCGTGCTCATTAGAGGTGCGGGGGAAATGACAACAAACTAAACACAAAAAGCAGTTCTAATGATATTCTTGGTTCTTTCGGTAAAGTCACATAGAAGGGAACTAATAAAATATTAAAAATAAAACATAACGTGACTTTACCGAAAGAACCAAGAATATGAATCCCTGCAGTCACGAAAGCTTTAAATCGAAATTCAGTTTTGATGAATTCAGTTTTCAATCTAGACGAAGGAATATCGCATAGCTCCAGTGGCTTCACAATACCGGAAGCAGGAGCAATCCAGACGGCTGCAGAAGTGCATCTGAAAGCGCGCCGTGCAGTGACCGTCCTTGTTTTATCGCCAACCAAAAACCACTAGGAAGATGGCAGAAGGTCGCGAGCAAGCTGGACTTGCAGCTACAGAGGTCATCCATTCTGATCTCCCGGTGCAGCAGTTATAACAATGCAGGAAGTTTCTTTAAATCCACAGCCCCCCCTGTCCCCTGCTACCCCCCCTCCCACCTCTGTCCCCTCTGTCCACCCAGCAGTCGAAATGGGAACACCCTAGTTAGTCGATCGGCAGGTCACGGTGTGGTGGGCTCAAGTCTTGGTGCTCGAACCTCTTCCAAGATGTCCGACCAGCATGGCAGAGTAGATTGAGAGAGGCTGTCTCTGATGGGAGCCTCTTCCACCCAGCATTGGCATAAGCGAGGGAATTGCAGAGCTGCACCTTTTATCTTCCATTTTTTTTAAATGCGCGTGTGTGTTTTTATTTCTCATGCTGTCGGTGCTTTTATTATAATAAAAATTCCATTTGAGCGTCACGTCGGCAGCAGGAGGAACATCCCCGTTTGGGAACCTGATTCTCTTTAGCACTGCGGTGAATGTAGCAGGCCGCTCAAGCGGCTAGAGGAGTGACATCAATCCGTCACGACGCACGGAAGAGCCGTCGATTCTGTCACACGCGCCGCTCTGCAAGCTGTGCAGTCGCGCTGACCGAGCCGTGCGCCCAACCCGGCGGCACCACGAGCGGGTGGGCTTTGTGTTGTCTCCAAACCGGAGGATTCCTCGCGGTTCCTTTCGGTGGCCCTCTCTACGGCCACAGGGTGTGCTTTGGTTATCTCCCCCGTGCCGTGGCAAATTGCCGGAGTTGGCGGCGAGGACTCGTTACACGGTCGCTATTCTCGAGCAAGGCCACTTGCCCTGCCGGCTGGCCTTAGGGTTGTAAACCAACGGTGTGTGTCTCTCCTGTGTTGCAGATCACCAGAAGCTGGAAAGGGAGGCTCGGATTTGCCGCATGCTGAAGCATTCCAACATCGGTGAGTCCAGCCTTGCCCGTCTGTGTTTCTCTACCCGTGTTTCTGCGTGTGGGGTGCGGGGGGAATGGTGGCACAGTGCTTAGAGCACTGAACCCAAGTGTCCAGAGTTAATTTCCCGCTCGGCAGCAACAACGGTGACGAATATTCCAACTAGTCCGGGTCTCTCCGAGGTTGACTCGGCCTTGAACGAGTACCGGCTGAGGTCTGTCCTCGTCAACACTGGGGAGACGACAGAGGCTGCCAGGCGTGGTGGTGGTGGTGGTCACACCACTCTCTCACGCCGTGACGGGCTTCAGAGGTGCTACTCGCTCACGGCACGTGTCCCAAGAGTCCATTAAAAGTCTCTGTGTGCGTGTCCTGGGTCATCTGACTGATGTCGGCTAAGACATGCGGAACATCGTTCCCGTGTCCTCCTGACAACGAACCTTCGGCCCTTCATGCGGCTTCAAAGTGCACCGAGTCTGGTGCAAGCGCTGTGTGGTCACATTGCCGTCACTTAGTGGGCATGGCAGTGTTTTGTGTTGTCTTGACACAAGCTATCTAGTACGGTGTGTAAACGTCAGCACTTGGGAGACAAAGGTGGCTAGGCGTGATTCTGGCCACCAACAGGACTGCATAGGTGCTTGCTGACCCAACAGTCTGGCTCAAGCTTCACGGGGATCTTGTTTTTTTTTTCGTTTCTGCCACTATATGTGTGTGTGAATTTGCATTATTCCTTTAATGGCATCTACATGTATGCATGGATGCATGTTTAACTTCTTTCGCACTGTACATAGCCAACTATGCTAATCGGAGGTGCGGGGGGGGACAACAGACTAAACACAAAAAGCAGTTCTACAAAATTATATTTCAATTTAGATTTAAAAGTGCATAGTTCCCGTGGCTTCCTCATATCGGAAGGAAGAGCGTTCCAGACGGCCACAGAAAAACTCAGGAGGTGGAGGAGAAGCAACAACAACAAGAAGCAAAGGTTTGGGCGGCTACACCACTGAGCTGGTAAACCCGCCAGCAGCCCTGGTGCATGCGTATGAAGAAACTATTTGCGTGTTTGTCACATTTAAGGGGGTCGGTGATTCCAGCAACTCTTGCGGCTGTACGGGTCGCGTGTCCGAATTACTCCCAGCATGTACGAACTTGCAATGATCGATTCCCTTGGCGCCTGATTCGATGCATTTGTCGCGAGCTTAAGAAACAGATCGTTATCCAGTGAAATCTGATGTATCTTGTGATCTGCTGCTGTCAATGCACCTCCTCCACCACCGAGTCCACTCGCCCTTAAATTAACACTCAGCCTGGCACAGCCGCTGCGCTGATATATTTTCCACTTAGTAGTGAATTGTGGCTGCCACGCTGGTGTGCCGTTTCATGATTAGTGTCTTGCGCGCACCCGTGCGTCGCACTCCGTGCGGCGGCGTCGTGCGTTTGTTTGTGAGCGGGAGCCGCTGTCGTGATCCATCGTCGTAATTACGTTTTTTTATGGCGGCGCGTCTCGCCCCGCGCGCTCGTAGTGTGCCGCATCCGATCGGTAATGGGAGCGAGTTAACAGGACATAAGTCCCCGTCCGTGCACGGCTTGTCATAACTTGGCACTGCTCAAGTTGTGCCCATTATTAAAACGGCATCTTTTATCTGCTCGGAAAATAATTTGCATGTTGACTCTGAAACCATTTCCGTGCCCGTGCTGTGCTTGCTTCGCTGTAAGCGGTGACAAATATCTCATTGCCGCAGTCGGGCGAATACAACTTAAGGGGGACTAATAGAGACCGAGAAATCCGCCACCGTCAGCATCACTGGCAGGGTCAATAGCCGTGGGTGTGTTTCTCTCATACCGCAGCGTTTAACAATTCTGGCAGTGATGTTTTTTTTATTTTGTGTCCCTTGCTGGTGTGTGCGTGCACGTGTGTGTGGTGTCTGCGTGTGTGTATGCGTAAAGATCCCCGTATAGCCTTAGCGGACTGATGGGGCAAGTGCTGTTAGTGGGCACCTATGAAGGCCAGAACGGTGTGGTATGTGTGTGCGATTACATGCGTTTTGTTGTGGTGCAGTGGTTGGCACATTTCGCTCAGAATCCAGCCACCCGAGTTTTATTCCCACTCGCGGCTAATTTTCATGACGAATGTCTGAAACTGTCTTGGGCCTCCCCGAGGTCGACTCGGCCTCAAATGAATACCTGGTGCAGTGTGTAATGATCGCCACTGGGGAGACAAAGGTGGTCAGGTGTGGAGCTGGTCACCCACCGCCTCGTGTGCCATACCGGTCTTAATCTGTGCTCGCTATAAGCACTTGCCCCAACAGTCATGTTTAGGCTATATGGGGGGGGGGGGGGTGTCTTTGAATCTAATTGGGTTGACACCTAGATCTGTTCCATGACCTCCTGCCACTGAGCCTGAGACACTTTGTGTCACGTGGCCTCTGGGCACACGTAGCCTGGCACAAGCACTGCGGGGACATCCCCATCACCTCGCAACAAATGGTGGTCTATTGTTATTGTTTGTTGACAGCATGCGAGTGTGCATGTGTTGTGTGCGTGCGCATGTGCATGTGTTATGCGCGCGCACATGCGCGGTATGCCTCCTCAGAAAATCATTAAATTTCACTTGCAGTGGTGCAAGAGACGTTGATTTGCATCCATAAAAATATAACATGCGAACATGACACATCCATGCGGCGTGTCCTGAATATCAAGGCTGGTCACTGTGTGCTTTATTATTCAATTGTTCAGGAGATGGCCAGGTATTCATCTCCATAATATTTCCATATCGGGCAGGAAATAATAAATGAAGTCATTTTTAAACAACTGAGATCTAATCCATGAGGCTGCAATAAAACAAATCTCGGAATATATAAAATAAAAAGTCTGTGCACAATAATCTGGGGAAGACCACGCAATTAGGTAGGTAAGCAATTTGAACAAATGAAATCAACTGGGAAGTATCCCAATGCAATGTTATTTAAGTAATATTATTTAGAATGATTATTTCTGCACCTGCGATTCGCACGGTTGGCTACGTACAGTGCAAAAAAAGCTCAACATACAGTACATGCAATATCACGCATGGAGAAGAAGAGAAGAACCTGCTCGCTGACGTGTCGTGGAAAGAAGATGGTCCATGGAGAGAGAGAGAGAGGCCCGATCGTGACCCCTGTATTTTTGGAGTTTGCATGTGTCTCTCTCCGTGGTCGTATGGATTTTTGTCTGGGTCTTCCGGTTTTTCCCTCCACATTTAGAAACATGCATTTTAAATGGTTTGGCTGCTGTAAATTCCCACACGATAAGCCACTTTGTTGAGGTGTCATTTATGGCCAGGTCGCTTGAGAAAGAATAGCTTGGTGGGCCTTACCTGGATTTCACAAATGTATTTCTGCCTTTTGATCACACGCTCTCAATCGGGCCTGAGAAAAGCTTCACATTAATATTCTACACCGGTATCAAGGGTCATGTAATAGTATGGCAGATCGGGATCACAATGATAGGAAGGGGTGAATAAGTGCAGGTTAGAAAATCTGAACTTGATCACGAAGAGGAGTTTTTCAATCGGCGCATATCGTGACACGGATCGTCAACACGGACACAGCGATGGACTCTCTCGTGACGTCTTTGTTCTCCGGAGGGTGGATAAGAGAGAGGGCCCTCTTACAAAGTGACTCCAGAAGTAGCTCTTGAAACATCAACTTGCGGAGTCATTCTGACAACGGAGCGGTGCGCACTGCTAAGCTGTGGGAGTTCTCCATCTCCTGACATGACCCGCGGTGAGCACAGCTTTCATCTAATTGGCAATAAAGAGCCCAATAAAAAAGAAAAATGTAACATTTGCGTAATATGACGCACTGGAGCTGATCGTTTGTGCACCTTTGCCATATCCAAAATCCGAAGCGCAAACATTCCCAGCCGTCTAATTTAATTAAATTAGATTTTGCTGAAATGTTCTCATGCAATTACGTTAATTAAGGTCTCCCTTGCAAGATTACGACGTGAATGTCAACGGGCGGGCCCGTCTGGTGCCCGAGCGAAGGCCGCCAGTTCGTGGAGAGCTCCGACAGGAGGATGAGAGGGGCCTCCACTAATCCCGAGAATGCGCACGCAGCGAGCGTTCTGCTCGATTCGCCCGTCCTTTCGTCCGACCAATCAGTTTTCAACTAAAACCTTTCCCGGGGTCAATGGGGTGCAGTGACCCCGGAGAGAAGTCCCCCTTCTTCTACTGCACCCTCCTCCTTCACGCCGGCATCGATGCCGGGGTTTCTCAACACCCCAGCCCTCGTTCACCCCCCCCCCGGGCTCTGCGATCCCCATCTCTCTGCCCGTACTCGCCGTCCGGATGCAAATGAAGGCGTCGTGCGTCACGCTGGCCCCGGTGATTCGGTGAACGTGGAAGCCTGCACCGCGGTGGGCAGCGTTGTCTTAGTGCAGCGCAGCATTTGCATGTGAACAGGGCCCCCACTTCTTTACGCATCCCCCCCCCCCCCCCCCGACTATGATGTGACTGGATATCCCACGAGACCGTCTCTTCGTGTTTGTCTCTGTCCATCTCCCTCTGCATCTTGAGTCTCCGCTTGCCTCTCTCCTCGTGTCCCCCCCTCCCCCTCTCTATCTGTCTCCCGAGGCTCTCGCTCTCCCTCCGTGCCTCTGTTTTCACCTCTTGTCAGTGGCCGTGTCTCTCTCTCGGGGTGGCACTTCGCATCGCCCCCCTCCCCCCGATGCCCAGCGTCATTTTGCTGACCAACATTTCCCCCGTGTAACAATGCGGAAATGTGTAACGTATCTTTACTCAGTGTCCAAGCCTTCAAGGATGATGGCATCTCCGATTACGACGCGGTTCATAATTTGCAAGCCTGGTCTACTGCGAGCAATGTGACCGGATTAAAATCTACCCCACAATTTAAAATGTTTTAAACACAAAGCAACTGAAACCTCAAATGTGACAACGGTGTCCACCTGTGAAGTTATGGTTCGCCAGGGTCTCGCTCGCGATAGCGATAGCGATTCTCAACCGGCTGTCACCT